CCCCAAAACCCCAAAACCCCAAAACCCCAAAACCCCAGGGGTTAACGATTTGATTGAGATTTCAGAATGAAGGACTTCTGGGTGGGAATGGGATGGAATTGGTGGGGGAAATAGGGATTTTATAGGGGAAGTAGCAGGGAGAAGGGAGTAGGAAGGTGAGTGGAGGGAACAGGTGGCTGAGGTTGGGGGTTGGGTGGGATGTGGAGATAGAGAAAAGGAGATAGTTTAGGAAATTTGTGTTATTATATGGTTTATTTTTAATTATTGGAGTGAAATGTTTGTTGATTCAGCGACCTTAGTCAGATCTGTTGAGCTGAGTCAGCTGTTTGACTTTCTTTTTGCTGCAAAGTGTGTCGCAGTAGTTCTTGAAGCCTTGAAGAGTCTTTCCTGAAAATTTTCCGATGATTTCAGAGTATTTGACATTCTCATAGTTATAATTTTTAAGCAGTCTCTTCAACAGCTTGGTCTCTCTAATAGAGAACGTATCTGTGAGTTTCAGACTGAGTCTGTTGGCTATGAAGCGAGAACTTTGTCTGCACCCCAGTTTATTTTTTATTATTTGGAGACCTTGATGAGACTTTAACTGAGCAGCAGACTTAAGTTGACAAATAGAAGACAAAGTAATGAGTCCTTGTTCTTCACATTCTCTGAAGGCTTTAAATAGAGCAATATCTTCATCCTTGCCCCATCTCTTGGCTTTTATGTCTTTCTCTTTTGAAGATTTCAAGAGAATCTTTAGTCTTAATGTTGTATTCTTAGTAGATTTTTCTTGAATAAGATCTTTAAAAGAAGGTGAATGGACCTTGGGTTTGGGGTTGAGATTGAAGTTAAAGGGAGTACTATTATCTTCATTAATTAAATACTCTTGATAAACACCTTCTTGGTATTGAGCCATTTCTCTAATTTGAGGCAAAATACAAAAGTCTTCTTGCTGTTTAAAATTTTTCTCCAGGTTCCTGGTTGGAGAAAATTTAGCAGGTAGTATTTCATCAAGAGGATTTTCAAGATCTTCTTCTGTGATGTTATCAAAGGGCAAGCTTGGACTGTCTCAAGATCCAAAAAGAGTAAAATAAGTTGTAGGGTCCAGATTGTTTTCCACCTCAAGAGATAGTTCACATTGAACATAATTTTTTGAGTTCTTATTTTCCATAGGTTTTATTTAATATTATAAGAAATGCTTCCCTTTTATATATGTATCTCTATTCTGATGAATAGATTCTTCATTCTGATAAAAATTAGAAAACATTTTGAAGAAGCAAACTTAAATAAAAGCAAATATCAGAAAAATAACAAATAAATTTAATTTAACTAATTTACCATTAACATCCATTTTAGACAGTTCTGACAAAAATATTTTTAGCAGATAAAAAAGTTAACCATCGACAGACGAGGCTCAATAGAAAACATACCAAAGCCTAATAACAACAGAAGCTAAATAATTCCTAAAATTCCAAAAATCTTCATGGTTAAGTCTCTAAACCAACACTCCATGCAACCCCTTCTAAATCTCACCCAAAACACCCCAATCTATCAACCCCCACAACTACCTAATACCCACCCCTCACACCCCTCATACCCCTCTCTCCCACCTCCTCTCCATCTCTCCATCTCTTCCCCACTTCCCCACTTCCTTGCCTCTAGTAATCCATCTTCCCCTCCTCCACTAAAATCCCTACAGTCTTAAATTCTATTGAAGCTCATTTAACCGTGCAATCTTTTTGACTTATTTCTTTCTGTTGTAGGAGGGGGTTTTAAAAGGTTATTTTAGAGTTAGGGGATTTTGTGGGGATGGAGTTGGAGGTGAGGAGGGAGGGGGATGGGTGGGGGTTGGATTGGAGGGGTGAGGGAGGTATGGGGTGCAGGGGTGCAGTAATGGGTGGGGTTAGGAGTTTAGAGGGGTTCTAGAGGGGTTTAGGGGGTTCTAGAGGGGTTTAGGGGGTTCTAGAGGGGTTTAGGGGGTTCTAGAGGGGTTTAGGGGGTTCTAGAGGGGTATCTGTTGGATGAGAGGGATGTATTAGGAGATTTAGAGTTGGATTAAGGAGGATTATAGTATGAGAGATATTAATGATTAGAATTGATTTTACATTATTGATTAGAAAAAATGACCAAACATGAAAATAAGCTTTTAACAACAAATTCACAACTCAAAAAATCACCAAAACTTTCAATCTAAAATGTACAATTCAATATTAAAACTGCCATCTGGGGTTTTGGGGTTTTGGGGTTTTGGGG